CCTATCATTTTATTATTAGTTCAACTATTTTCCTATCATTTTATTATTAATTCAATTATTTTTAGATCATTTTATTATTAATTCAATTATCTTCCTATCATTTTATTATTAGTTCAACTATTTTCCTACCATTTTATTATTAGTTCAACTATTTTCCTATCATTTTATTATTAGTTCAACTATTTTCCTATCATTTTTTATTATTAGTTCAATTATTTTCCTATCACATTTCGTTATTAGTTCAATTACTTTCCTATCATTTTGTTATTAGTTCAATTACTTTCCTATCATTTTATTATTAGTTCAATTTATTTATTTCTAGTTCAATTATTTCCCGATCATTTTATCGTTCAATCACTTTTCCTATCATTTTATCGTTCAATCACTTTTCCTATCATTTTATTATTGTTCAATTATCTCCCCATCATTTTGCCTGTAATTCAATTATTTTCTGTTCGTTTCCATTCTAATTCGCGTACTTACCGATCATTTTATTGCCATTACAATTATATCACGGTTATCTCAATGAGTTAGTGGTATGGTGGTGCACCCCATTCGTAGATACCGAGGAAAACAATTAAAGAGATACGCAAACACCTGTGTCCGAACAGATTTTATTGTCGCTGTTCTCCTCGTTCGGCGGACTCGCGGCGTTGCTGTTGCTGCTCGTGCCGATCGGCAGGATAACCGTGGAATTTCCGAACCGAGTCGTTATGGACCTCGGCTGTACAGGGAATAACGGGCTGCTTTACACGATGAGCCAGAGTCATCCTTGCGAGACGAACTTGCAAGAAAAGATCTCCACCAGGCTGGAAAGTTGCGGGTAGGTAAGGATGCGGGCTCGTGTCGCGACTAATTACAGTGAATTCTCTCTAATTCGCGCTCAGATTCTACACGAAAATGGACAATTTGGGGAGAGGAGACGCGATTGTTCGAGCCTCGCGGCTCGCTTTTATGATCACCGATTGTCAACAATTATAAAATATATAATTATTGTATCGATGTTATTATATATATATATATATATATATATATATATTATATAAATATATAATCATTGTATCAATATTATTATATATATTATATAAATATATAATTATTGTATCAATATTATTATAAATATGTTATATAAATATACATGGTGCCCTAAAATTATTGTATTTTCGGGAACTGAGGGGTTCATGAGGTGATTTGAAGCAACTTTTTCCTTAGCGAAAATGCGATCCGCGGCTTTGTTCGTGAGTTATTAACGAAAAACAGTGACCAATGGGAGGCGAGCTCGCTTAGCGCGAGGCGGCCGCGCCAATGAACGGAACTGGACTTCGCGCGCTCGTTGGCTGCGCCGCCTCGCGCTAGCCGAGCTCGCTTCTCATTGGTCACTGTTTTTCGATAATAACTCGTTAACGACGCGTCGGAGAACATTTTTGTAAAGGAAAAAGTTACTTCAAATGGTCTCAGGAACCCTCCTATTACCAAATTTTCCATTTTTGTGCGCAACGCCGCGTTTTTTCTACTCCGAGCTGCGTCATCCTCAAATCTCGCAAAGACGAACGATTCCCGACGAACGCAGAGTCACTTTGACTCGTAACAAAGTTCCTCTTGGCAATTGATGTCTTGTCGCCCGCGGGTCAAAATGACTCTGCGTTAGACGCACGCGTATTAATCAAGATGTTTCGACGCAAGGTTTTCGGTTCGCGGTAAAACTTTTGTCGCCCTCCTGTTCGTTTCCGTCTGTCCGGAAACTGCACAACAGCAGCATAATTATTCGCGGTTTCATGTTCAAGTTACATGTGTCGCATGGACATTTACAACGACACGGAGGTGGAGTCGATTTTGTCGTCGAGAATGTACACGATCGTGCGGCACAATTTGGAGACTGGCAGCAACTCCACCGTCAAGTTCACGATCGCTCAGGATGACGTGCCAGTGGTATGTACATACGAGAGAAAGCTGGCCAGAGAATTCACTGATTTTTAATGCTGCTTTAACCACTTATAAACTAATTACTGTCCAAAATATTAAGGAAACTTTATAACATGTTTCAAGCTTGCATCGATTCTATTGAAAATTGTAGATCAATATAATTCTATTATAAATGACATTTAATGTAATTTAATATAATTGAAAATTACACGAAGGAATTCATTGTAATATTATTGTAATTATATTATATTATTATATCATTATAATTACTAATATAATATTATATTAGTATGATTATAGTACATTATTATATCATTATAATTACTAATATAATATTATATTAGTATGATTATAGTACATTATTATATCATTATNTATTATATATATAATTATATTACTATAATTATATATAATATTATATAATTATATTACTATAATTATATATAGTATTATATAATTATATTATTATGTTACT